ACGGCGTGGTTGTCCTCGTTTCCATTTCAGAGGATTTGTCGCTGATATACAGGAATGCCTTTGATTTATGCGTGTTGATTTTATAACCTGCCACTTTGCTGAATTCATTTATTATCTCTAATAGTTTCTTTGTAGACCCTTTTGGGTCTTAGTATGGCTTCTTAGAGGACTTATTTCCTAGAATATAAGGGATTGGGTCTTTTTTAGTAGTTTTCTTCTCTATATTTATATTGTTAGTCATCTTGCAACACTCTATTGGACTCTCTGGACTATTATGTGTATCCATCAATGTTAATTTCTATTACCAGTTATTGGTATACATTGCTACTAGTCTATGTAGCAATGTATACCAAGAAAAAGATGTCCTCTCTAGGGGCTGGGATGGTGGCTCGGTGGTAAAGTGCTTGCCTAGCATGTGTGAGGCACTGGGTTCAATTCTCAGCCCTGCATATAAATAAATAAAATAATAGTCCATTGACAACTAAAAAATATTTTTTAAAAAAAGATGGCCTCTGTACATGCACATAATTTGTGGCACATAGCAACTGGATGGTTCCCCTGTAAGAATTAGAAAGAGGTACCTGCTGACACAGCCCAGAACTGGGGCACTTGGTGTGGAAAAGAGAGCTCAGGCTGAATTTTGTGCTCTCTTATTGGGTACCCTTAGGCTGCTTATAGCCCATGGGCTGTTTACAACCCATAGGATTACAGCCATTGGTATGGTATATGTTTTCTGAAACTACAGGTGACTTCCTCATTGTTTTTCCTGTACTCTTTCTTACTTGCCCACTGATAGAAACAAGTATGTACCTATATTTACATATACTTAAAATGAGAAAATATCTGTGAACATTTAACATTTTTCTATATAAAAGCAACAAAACTTAGATATGCTGTAGCATTTGCTCTTCTTCACTACAACTACCTTTCATAAAAGCATTGGGGTAGCATCATGTTTCTTTTACTGATTAAAAGTAGTTTCAATTAATGATAATGTGTGTGGTCAAAATTACAATTTGTAGTGAGAGTCACGCGAAGGTGAATTTCTATCCTTTTAACATTGTCCCTGACTTTCTCAAAAAACAATTTATTAAATAAAACTGGAACTTTTTGTCATCCAAAACACGTATCAGCTACTCTTCTTACCAATTCAGAATGGGAACCAGTATCTGGGTATAGGAATGCTTTTGAAAATTGAAAGCAGGCCAGTGTGTTGCTTCTACTGTTGGACTATTTGTGTATGTGAGTACATGTGTGGGTGTATAAAAGAAAGAGCAAGTATAAACATACATATGCTGAAAAAGGGGGTTTTGTTTTTGTTTTTGGTCCTGGGGATTGAACCCAGGGGCACTTGACCACTGAGACACATCCCCAGACCCTTTTGTTTTTTATTTAGAGACAGGGTTAAGGCCTCACTAAGTTGCAGAGGCTGGCTTCAAACTCACCATCTTCCTGCCTCAGTCTCCTGAGCCACTGGGATTACAGGTGTGCGCCTCCACCACACCCAGCTGGAAAAGATGCTTTTTAATGTCATTAAGGGTTCCACTTTTTTTTTTCAATTTAATTTATTATGTTCTTGTATCCTACTTTGCCTACTACATAGTTTCATAAATCACTGATGTTTTTGTTTATATTAACACTTGGGATGAGTTGGGCCTGGGAAACAGAATATCCACAAGTATGAGTTTATGTATTTTTTCCAGAGTGTGTAAAGTGCCCCGAACTCCTTTTTTGGAGCTCACTTAAAAAACAAGTTTTTGGTTACCTGGTGGGCACATGCTGGCCTGTTCTCCATGTGTCTGCATCTGGGTAGCATGTCTTTTAACCTCAGGAAGCACTTACTATGGGGATCCTTTCTGATTACTACCATCTGGTTTTTACTTCTCTTTACTATCTTACCATATTGTCTAGCATGTATCATACTGTATTTTAATTTTCTCTTTACTTGTCTGACTTCCATTAGGCATTTCTATCCTCTTTGGTTGTGTCTTATTCATCTGGAAGGCCTATTACACCCTGCATGGCACATGGTAGATGCTCAATATCTTAATATTGAATATTTTAAATGAGGCTTAAAGAAATAGATTATGTAGTAATGACCTGGTTTTAGTAGCCAGTCTCTATGTGTTGAACTGTGCTTCCTGCTGAATATAGAAGAGAAATTCTATAACACTTGAACCTGCACTTAAGGAATTAGGATCTCTGATATTGGCATAATAAGGTAAATATTTCAAGTTCTGTCCTCTGTTTTGCCCAGGCCAGTGCCCCACTATGAAGGGGATCTGTTAATTTCCTGCATGGAGGTGAATGCAGCATTTCTGCAGTCTTAAAAATGAGTAGGGGTTAACCTAGTCAAGGTAACTGCAAGTAGGCCATTCTCAGCAAAGGTTCTTGAATAGAGCTACATAGGCAAAAGTTAGATAGTGTGTTTGGTGAAAATCCCAGCAGTTTAGAATTTCCAGCATATGAAGTATGAAGTAAAGAAGCTAAAGTGATGTTCCCTTAGAAAGGTAAGCAGGAGTGGAATCCTGGAGGACCTTTCATACTTCATTGAATTATAGAATTTAATGTTGTAGTACAAAAACCAAAAGAGACTAGCATAGTGGATAAAAGCACATCTTTGGCAGCAAAGCTATCTGGGTTTGAACTTCAGCATTTTGCTAGCTTTGTAACTTAGTCTTCTTTTGTGTTGTATGATTTTTATTCTGTAAAGGGAGAATAGTAACAGTAATCACTCCATTAATGAGTTTAATTCCTCCTTTAAGAATAATAAATTTAATCACAGAGTATTTAGAACATTCAATAAAGCATTAACAGCTGATATCATTTTTATTATTAATTTTATATTGATGCAGTAGACAGGCCATTCTGGCAGCCTGTATGGAGGATGAGTTTTGAATAGATTAGAATCAGAGAGTGGAGAAACCATAGGGAAATTAGTGTGCCCCTTTAGTAGCTTCCATTAGCATGTGCTGCATACCTCTGTGATATAGTCCTGTGTAATGGTTTTAGTGAAATCAAACACTTTATGGATGGATTTTATGTAGACTGGACTAAATGAAACCTTCTCATCTTGTTTTTTAAAAAATTTACTTGGCATAAACATACTAGAAAGATGAGCTGTGGAGCTTCCAGGACCTTGCATGGCATGGCTAACCACTGAACCTGCTATCTTCAAAATATATTTCAAAACTCATTTCCTGAGAAGGTAATCTGGAGAAAGGCAAACCAATTGTTTCTCAGTAGATGATTGAAGATAACAATAAGGTTAGGTTCTAGCATGGGTTTGAGACTAATAGGGGCTATCTTCTGATAGTTACCATTTTATTCTAAAACTCAGGTTACACATATCGCTGCATATTTTATGTTGAATGTGATCAGCAGGCAATGGGTATCATGAAAGGATAAGAAAACCAGGCTGTGGGTGGAGCTGTCCTACCTATTTAGGTATTTGTTCCAAAATATCCTGTAAATATCTGTTCTCATACCTATAGGAATACACATTATGTTAGTTTACAGGTCTGTCAGAAAAATTTACTGAGGTCATTTATGTAAAAACATTTGAAAAAATCCAAAGATACTTTAAAAATGAAATGATTTTTACTTGTATCTGTCCTTTTATTAAATGAATCCAGCAAGAGTTGGGAGATAGGCCAAATAATCACCTGGTATGCAAGCTACCCTAGTTTTCATATAATTCAAAGTTTGTTGGTCTGCCTTTGGGGAACTCCTGCTTCCAGTGAAAGCTAGGGAAATACACTTGGGTCTTTTTTCCTGTTAAGATGTTCTTTTAAATTATTTCCCTGTGTTAATCTCTGTTCCAGAAAGCTGAGGTTTCTCCAAGTCTGACCACTGATGAGTGAGGCATTGGTGTCCCTTTTTCCAGTACTTCTGGAAGGCCTACTCATAAACTCCCTGGATAAGAGAGACACATCAGTGCCCCAACCAAAGTTTTGAGACGTGCCTGAGAGACTTATATCCATTCAGTAGTTCTTCCTCCACCTATTTCTACACTAAAGATGGACCTAAAGCTAAAAAATCCTGACTTCTGGTACAGTCTTCATGGATATGTTCCAGGACTTCTGGACTGGGACATGGGGAATGAGTTCTTCTTGCCTTGTACCACAGACCAGAGCCCTTTATCTGAGCAGAACCTTGCTAAATACAAAATACGAGTAATGAAGCCCCCAGAAGTACCCCAGGAGTGGAAACCTGGTCCTGATGAAGATGTTCCTCAGTCTGAACCCAACTTGTGGATGTGGGTGAACCCAAACATTGTGTGCCCTCTCAGCAGCCAGGAGGCCCCAAAGCCCAATAGTAAGGATCTGACAAGCATGGCTTCTTCCCCTCAGGCACCCACAAAAGATGAAGAGTCTAACTTCTCAGAGGCTCAGGGAGTGTTGGAGTCCCTGCCACTTTCCTCCAGTGATCAGTTTCTCCAACAGAAGCAACGCATCTCTTTCCCATGTGACTGTGAGCTTACAGAAAAGGATGCTGAGGAATAATAGGACAACATCTTCTGTGGCCCTCAAGCCCCTTAACAAAAGGGATGGCTTTCAGAAGCCAAAGCTGTGGGTGGCAAGCCAACAACCAGGAAAGGAAATCCTGGCCACGGCCCCCACTCAATTATAGCCATCTCATTGCCCTAGCATTAAGAAACAGCCCTCCTTGTGGTCTTAATGTGCAACAGATCTACAATTTCACTCGACAGCATTTCCCCTTTTTCTGGACAGCTCCAGATGGCTGGAAAAAAACACCATTCACCACAACCTCTGCTTCCTGGGCAGCTTTGAAAAGGTGCCAGTCACTGTTCAGGATGAGGCTGATGCAAAACCTCGCTCTTGCCTCTGGAGGCTCACCGAGGAGGGACACCGCCACTTTAAGGAGGATACCCGTCTCTTAGCCTCTGCTAGAAGAGAGAGCATCCAACAGTGCATGAGCCAACCAGATTTGATGCCCTCCCTCTTTGACCTTTGAACAACTGCTCCCTTTCTAGAACACTGCCCTCCTTTCTGTGCCTACCGATGTTCTGATTGACCCTTTATTAATCCCTCAGCCTACCCTGCCTGGTTGGTGCCAAGTTGGTCTTTAACTACAAGAATGGTGTTAAATAAGGTGAGAGGTAAGTACAGAGGAGGTGGGGCTTTTATCCAGGTGGGAATTCATAGAGGTTTCATCAAGATAGTGGCAGTTGTTCTACATCTTGAACAGAGGCAGAAAATCCCAGGAATAATGGCATGGAAACTAAGGAAAGAAGGGAATATTTTTATGTGAAAAAAAGGAATTCTGTTTAGTATTTACTTCTCTGTTCTGATCTGTTTCAGAAAGTTGAGGTTTCTCTAAGTCTGATCTCTGATCAGTGAGGTATCCATGTCCCTTTTTCCCAGTACTTCTGGTGGGCCTACTGAAGTACTCTCTAGAAGAGATATATTACATCAAACAGTGCACCAACAAACATTTCGAGAAATGTCTGAGAGATTTCTGTCCTTTTGAAGCCTTCCTCCACCTATCCCTACACTAAAGACTCAAAGCTGAAAATCTTGTGACTTTTGATACAGTTTTCATGGTCAGGTCCCAGAGTCACTGTATGTTCACACATGAAAGAAAATGGTGGCCTATAAAGTGTAAAATATATGATGGACCCAGACTGTGGGCAACCTTGAGTACCTCATGAAGATCTATACATATAAAAAGAATTGGGCCTGACGTTTAGTCACTTTTTAAGTGAACCATTTTATTCTTCAGATCCTTACTTTTCTCTTGCTGGTCTTGGTCTGCTCATCCTTGTTCTATTTTCATCCAGTTCCAGTACTGACAACTAATTCCAAGCAGCTACTTTTCGTTTAAATATTGAAAAACCTTGAATTGCTGCTGTATTAACTCCCAAGCTTTTTGATGACAACGCTTGGTTTCCTCATTCTTTCATTCACCAAACCTATATTGAGAAAATGCCAGTATGTTAAGGTCCACCTTAGGTGCTAAGGATAAAAAAATGATAAATATTAGTGGAAGATAGATAATTCTTATGTAGATATTATGAAACGTGAAGTTGTCATGGAGTTGAGAGATTGTTCCTGGGAAATATAAAAAGCATCAAAAAGAAAACATTTTTTGAGCTAGTTTCCAAGAATAAATAGGGATTTGTTGAGCAGATAAACAGGAGAAAGGACATTACAGGGGCAATAGTGTTAACAAAGTGAATGGGGTATTTGGGGGAATGATAAGTTCAGTGCAGTTTAGTTACATTAAGGCCAAGAATGGCTGTAAGAAAAGTAGCCACAAGACATTTTATGTACCACTTGGGTGTTTAGACATTCTTCGTGGGCTTTGGGGAATCAAGAGGTATGAGTAATGTGTTACAAAAGAACAAAAACAAAACAAATGTTTCAGTATTTGGTTTTCTAATTTCAAAATTTATATTTTTGTACAAATAAACTTTTGTAAAAAATAAAATGACTTTGTTTTCTATGTTTATTTATTATTAAACAAATATATTCTAACTAAAATCTAGAAAATTGATTTTAAGTTTCCATTTAGTTGCAAAACTTTCAATAATGGGGATACAAAAATGTCTGTTAAATACAAAAACAATTCAATATTTAAACAATTGACTGCATTTCTAATGATTTACTGTAGCTGATACACAACCATTTAGGTTGTATTTCAAAAGCAAGAAATTCAAACAATTCTTTCAAAAGCATAATTGTAAATGCTACATCTGTATCATAGTTGTTCTGTCCAAATTTATAGAATATTTTGGGATTAATAAACATATTGTGTTTACAAGTAGTCAATGTTTGCTGATCATTTTCTTCCCAAATTAACACTTATAAGAAAAAGCCTAAAAATAACAAATAAAAAAAGAAAAAGAGACTATTCTGAAATTAATGAAACTATATTTATAGCAAACCATGTTTCTAATATATCTACTCTGTAAATTTTCCAAACAGGTCAAACTTTCATTTTCATAACTGAACCTGAATTTTTCTGCTGCAACTTCACAACTTTGAGCATTGAATCCCTTTGTTTAGTTTTTTTTTTCCATGATTCTTCTTTTTGCTCTTGTTGCTTGGAAAAAGCAGTCATTGGATCATTTCTTCCAGTCATCTCTGATGATTCAAGTGAAGGACAGTCTTCCTTTGGAGGAAGTTTTTGCTCCTGCTTTTCCTTCTTTCCAGTATCTCACTAGGATACTGTAAAACTACTGTTTTTTATAGCTCTTCCTCATTCATTGATGACACCATTGCTTGCTCTGGCATTACTAATCTTTCCATTGGGGGCTTCAAAACAGATTGTAGAAGGGAACATATTCACCACTCAACACATGAATAAAATCTTTGTAAATCTCAGTAATTACTTTGAAGATTGGCAGAATGGTATATAGCTGATAGTCTTTTGCTTACACTGGCATTCTTGTCAGTGAGTTTGGGTTTTTTAAAATCCTGCATTTATTTGTACGTTTATAAAGGTTAAGCAGAATGAAAAAATAATAATATGCTTGGCATAGAATTATGTTTTAAACTAATATTATTATCCATTGATCCCACACTGGGGTTGGCATTTGTAACATCAATTTGAGAACTCCCCTGGATAAGTCAGTTAAGTAACACATTTTCATGCCTCTTTTCTCCTAGTAAGAGATTTCATCCTCTTTCACTGTAACTGTATAAGGATTTCTGTTAAACTTAGTTATCAAATCTCCCTCTTATTTCTTCTGAATCCCACAATTCTGTATCATCAGGCAAATTGGTCTTGAACATTATCTCTGCTACCAAGTATGCTTCAAAACCCTGTTTTTGGGAGTTTGAAGGAGCTTTGAAATCAGGCAGCTCCTTTTCTCCAATTTCTTTGTCAGTTTTAGTAATTAAAAAAAAAAAAAACACTTTTGCCCTCTGGTCACCCATCACCCTTACCCAGGTAACTGTTATGATACTCTGCCAAAGCAAGATTCTTCTATGGATTTGAGCTCACTTTTCAGGTTCTTTAATACTGACTTCTTTAGGGAGGCAGTGGAGAGGGCAACAGCAACTGATAGGGCCATTGGGCTGGCATGTGCTGGGACCAAGGAGTTGGAGTCTCAAATGGCTGTAGGAGCAGATTTGGGGTCTGCAATGACAGAGTAAGGTTCAGGAGGGGTAGCAGGGTTGGTGTGGATTTCAAGAAGGAATGAGGGGACAGGAAAGTTTTGTTCAAGGTGGGAAGGACGGGCAGGGCTGGATTTGGGCACTGAAGCACTGACTTCCTCTTCTTTGGCAGTGATGGGTTACCCAGTCAGGTATTGCCGGTGGGGTAGGTGGAGGATGCTAATGAAAGCATTTTCTGAGATATAACTTAACTCCACCTCCTCACTCTTGCACCCTTATATGGCAGCCTATGTCAGCTCTCAGTGTCTGGTGGTCACCACTCAGAGTGAGGCTGAGGCAACTTTTGATCACATTGTAACAGTGGTCCACTTTATGGTCGGTTGCTGCTCTGCTACAGCAACTTATTTTTTAAATATTAATTTTTTAGTTGTAATTGGACACAATAGCTTTATTTTATTTATTTATTTTTATGTGGTGCTGAAGATTGAACCCAGGGCCTCGCATGTGCTAGGCAAGTGCTCTACCGCTGAGCCACAATCCCAGCCCCCTACTGCAACTTATTTTTAAAGTGGACATATTTCTTTCTCTTCCTCTCACCCTGCTCTTCCTTAATATCTCCCCCTCCCTAATCTCAGGGGAAACAGGATTACCTTTCTTCCCAATCCTTGGCAGAGTTATCTGTCCCTGAGTATACACCCACCATAGGAACAAAGTAATTCAGACTTTGGGGATGTACCAGTATCTCCCAAATTAACAAGTGAATTACAACTCCAGACCGAGAACCAGTGGAATGTAGCCTTTGAGTCATCTCTTTAAAAGCCCCCTGTTCCTAGTGATGGGCAGAATTACAGCCTCTGGGACTGGAGTCCCTTGTGTTTCTTCTTTGCTAGAAGAGCAAAAAAACCTTCTTTTTTTCTTTTTTCAAAAACTATGTTCTTGTTATTGGATTGGCATCAGGAACAAGGACTGAGCTTTCAGCAACAATATTTCTAGCCCTCCAACCTAGTACTGACAGTAACAGGTTACCCTCAACTGCATTACAACATTGTACAGCTATAAGAGAAAAAAAAAATTGGTAATGAGGATTGAACCCAGGGGTGTTTTACCACTAAGCTACATCCCCAGCCCGTTTTATTTTTGAGACAGGGTCTAATTAATTGCTGAGGCTGTCTTTGAACTTGGGATCATCCTGCCTCAGCCTCCTGAGTAGCTGGGAATACAAACATGAGCTAATGAGAAAGGCACCTGGCTAATGAGAAACGGTTTTTGTTGTTGTTGTTGTTTTGTTTGTTTGTTTGTTTTAAGGGGGAGTAACATGCACATTTAAAACCTGGAACTCAGTTCATCAGCCCCACCTCCCCAAATTGCCTCCAACTCCTCTTCAGTAGCATTGGTGGATTATAAAGACAGCCAGTAGGGACTCTAAAAAGATTAAATGTATGATATTATCAACAGCCATTCCCATTCTCTTTCCATATAACCAACCTGCAGGGATTTATTTTGGACAAAACATTCTGATTTGAATTAATAATGAATCACCTGGTACTTATGAAGGAGGAATCATTCCCAAAAACAAAGAGTGAGAAATGGGACAGTGTTTGCTCCCTTAAAAACAAGATTAGTTTGGTAGGAACTAGAGCTAGGTGTAGCAGAGAGAAGTAAATAAACACTCTAGACTTGATCAACTCCATAGATTATTGTACTACCCATAAGCAAGTTTTTCCAAAATCTCTTTCTTCTCATCTGTAGGATAGAACTAATATTTACTTTAAGGATTGCTATAAAAATTAAGGAGGAGTTATGCTGAGGGCCATTGCCAAGTAGGAATGACGCATCGAATGTCCTCTAAGCAGCATGGGGTACGCTGGCAAGGAAATTTCGATGCGTCATTCC